GGTGTGTCGGGAACATATTTGGTGGGGGACAGAAAGTCATAACGGCTGATAAGATCTGCGTTGGTTCCAGGAAGTGATGTACAGGGTGGGACGGAAACATGTTCGGTTGGGAACGGAAAATGATAAGGGCCGATAAGGCCGAAGAGAGGCTAGAACGCAAATTTCACGGAAGCTCGCGTTCCAGCAACAGTTAGGTGTTGCTTCCAAGAAGTGCTGTAGAGCGCGCGTCTCAGACGTTGATTTTAAAAATAGCAGGTGGAACCTAACGTTTCGCCTGTCGTCCAGATTTGCCGAGCCCTTCCGTATCATGCACGCGGTATTGTGGGGATTTTATTTAAGTGGTATAATATAACCAGTTTAGCTCCGCACGCAACCGCGCGCATCAAATGGTGGGCTTTAGTGAAACTGGACAACTTGCAGAATATTAGGTCACGTGCTGAGAAACTAACAGTAAGATGTTTTGGAAGATGTGTCACATGAATTTCAAAGGTTGTCCAATTTTGCTGAAGATTGTCGCGTAATGCGCGCAGTAGCATGCGGAATGAAAATGGTACTTATCATGACTTCGTAAACATTTAGCATTGATATCGAGCTCGGGCGATTTAGCGGTTTATAGAATTTCCACAATTGAAGAATCGGTGTGTAAGTGAAATATAACCAATCAATCAGCATCAACCGAGCTACAGTGCGTTGCAAAATCATAGGACATCCCTCAAAATATGAATATCTCGGCTTCTAGAAAAAGCCGTCTATCGCAACTGGTAGAATCAGAACCGCCTCTATAAAAAACCTATACAAACAAGTAGCCAGATCATCCGAATAGTTTTCCGTATTTTTAGACAATTTTTTTAGTTTTGTAGTCGTTGCAAAATCATAGGACACCCCTCGGAAGTCTCCTTACAGTTGAATTTTTTTATCCATCCAGCAGCCATCAGGCGCGTATAAAAAGAAAGTCTGGAAAAACCAAAAACTAAAAAATATTGTCTAAAAATACGGAAAACTATTCGGATGATCTGGCTACTTGTTTGTATAGGTTTTTTATAGAGGCGGTTCTGATTCTACCAGTTGCGATAGACGGCTTTTTCTAGAAGCCGAGATATTCATATTTTTGAGGGTGTCCTATGATTTGCAACGCACTGTAGCTCGGTTGATGCTGATTGATTGGTTATATTTCACTTACACACCGATTCTTCAATTGTGGAAATTCTATAAACCGCTAAATCGCCCGAGCTCGATATCAATGCTAAATGTTTACGAAGTCATGATAAGTACCATTTTCATTCCGCATGCTACTGCGCGCATTACGCGACAATCTTCAGCGAAATTGGACAACCTTTGAACTTCATGTGACACATCTTCCAAAACATCTTACTGTTAGTTTCTCAGCCACGTGACCTAATATTCTGCAAGTTGTCCAGTTTCACTAAAGCCTACCATGTGATGCGCGCGGTTGCGTGCGGAGCTAAACTGGTTATATTATACCACTTAAATAAAGTCCCCACAATACCGCGTGCATGATACGGAAGGGCTCGGCAAATCTGGACGACAGGCGAAACGTTAGGTTCCACCTGCTATTTTTAAAATCAACGTCTGAGACGCGCGCTCTACAGCACTTCTTGGAAGCAACATCTAACTGTTGCTGGAACGCGAGCTTCCGTGAAATTTGCGTTCTAGCCTCTCTTCGGCCTTATCGGCCCTTATCATTTTCTGTTCCCAACCGAACATGTTTCCGTCCCACCCTGTACATCACTTCCTGGAACCAACGCAGGTCTTATCAGTCGTTATGACTTTCTGTCCCCCACCAAATATGTTCCCGTCACACCCACTACATCACACTCAAAATACGGCGCTCCATGCCTGCAGTATGAATTTCGTGACAGAAGGACGGACGTACACACAGACACAGACAGACATACTTGGCTAATTATATATCGTAGATTTCGTTGTAGATTTCGTGGTGACAGTATAACTTGGAAAAAAAACGAACACCTGGACGACCGATTGTCAGACTTCTTCACGAAAGCTCTGAACGAAAGGAATGAAGGACATCGTGTCCCTCGAGCGAGGAGGGTCCACTGGACAACTCTTGCACGCGACAGGGACGAATGGAGACGTTGCTGGCGCCCGCTCGAGCAATTCGATGATCAACGGGACGACAGGTGATACAGGTGAAGTGGTATTTTTTTCGTGACGAGACCCAGAACACGAAACACGCTTCCATTTTCAAAACACTACGCGAAATAGGCAATACACCGTTCTTCCCGTTCTCCTCTTCATCTACTCAGATAGCAGTTGTTTGTCAGAATTTATCAGTAGCAAGCATCTTTTTTATTCAAAGTGTGGTTCATTTCATAGTGTCTACCCGGAAGATGTCGATAGGAACCCTTTTGATACCATCTCCAAAACCCTGTAAGTCGCACTTTTCGCTGGCTCCGATGGAATCTAGGAAATTTTCTGAAGAGTTTGATAACCCTCCTTCTTAAACCCAGAAATTAATACACAAACGCTAAGCTTTCTATGCCAAACCCTCGCGTGTTCGTATTAGACCAGCTCAGAATGAATCGTTCACGTTTCTATGCTTCAAAGTGCGTTCTACTCATGCTCTTCTGTCAGTCAACGAATTCTATTCCTGGTAGGGTGACTTGTGGGGACCTTCTGACCCATTATGGGAGTACCGGTGAAAAAAGTGGTCCATGAATAATCGCAGCCTCAACTTGAACTGTTGAACAATTCTGAGTAATTGACGTGTACGCAAAACTTCCACGGCATTCCTAATCATGTAATTTTTAGCGGATGAATTCCAATTTGCAAATGATGCTGTTTTGAAAGGCGTACCTAGGCAGTCGTACAAGCCGATTGAATTCATCGAAAAAGTTTGTCTGAAATCAGCAAAGGCGGTACGTTTTTTTTAGAGATTCAACAAACATTACCTTCAGCGGTGCCCCTATTCACACAACAACTTCTGCGATGGTGTCCCCGGGTGAGGCATCGATGATAGACTGAGCCTAAGAGGAGGGAGGAACTTTGGAGGAAGTGGAATTCGTTGAACACCCCATTTCCTTGTCTCACAACCGGGTTTAGTGCAAGGAGGTTCAGAGTAATGGTGAGGATGTTGGCCGTATGGGCTCTCTGAACAATCATGCCCCCTGACTACATCAGCGCCGGGTTTCTCTCCGATTGTGCGAAAATATTTATTAAGGCAAGAAATCCCTTCTTCCAACTATCCACTAATGCTGCGCGTCAGTTTGTCGGTGCTTTCGTCTGCAAACTGTATCTCGATAATCATAGTATGTGTTATCAAGGGAAGACTAACCGGCAGGGTGAAAACCGTGACGAGGAAATGGACGTTTCTTTACGATCCCACTCCCCCCTCAAAAAGGAAGTTGAAGTTTGCATGCGAGTTTTCCCTCTTTAGAAGACTACCTTTCCCCATTGCCCATCTTTTGAAGAAGGAATCGTTGTAGACTAGAGGATTTGTGCTTCTCAATAGGTGCTGCAGTTGTTTCGAACGCTTTCTTGTTCGCGAGAAATCTGCGTCGAGGAAATGTCAAGGAAATTTTCGAAGCCACTCGAAAACTCTATTCCTCCCTAGTCGATCCGAGAAAGTTGCTCCAATACCCTCAGAATGCTCCTGGAACACATAATCTTGGAGCTAATAGGGAGTGAGATATTTGGCGCTGATTCATTCCGTTCTGGTATGCGCCATGCAGTGACCATCACTCGGAGTCATTTGGAAGGTGTTTTGTCTACACCACAACCAAATTGCGCAAACCGAAAGGTGTTTAGTCTTACTCAATTATCAGAATAACTATTAATTATGTATTATAATTATATTATATTATAATTATATATATATATATATACCAGTTGGCGCCGCACGCATTGCGCGCGCAACACAGATCTGCGGCGAATTTTGATGGTGCGACGAAAATTTTCAAATTTGGCTTGATACACCACGAATATCTGAATTCTCAGCTAAATTCTATCCGCTCCATCATCGACGGCTTTCAACCTCTTTCTTCGTCAACCATTATCCTCTTTTTCTCGGTCTCCGGACTGCTTCCGGACAATAAATCTCGTGGCAAACTCCGCCTACTTCGGTGCGTGCCCACCAATAGCATTTGGCCCCCTTCCTTTCGCCGACCTCTACCCCTTTTTTCACCGGTCTCTGGGACCTCTTGGAAGCAGCTGATCTCTTTTCCCTCGCCAACCTCTAACCCCGTTTTCCCTATCTCTAGGACTTCTTGGAGCCGAGTTATGAATTTTCGTCGCAAACTCCGCCCACTTTGGTCAAGCCCCGCCCACCAGCTGGGCTCCACTCCTCCACCCACCTCCATCCACCTTTTTCCCTGCCTCCGGGACTTCTTGGAGCCGAATTACAATTTCGGCGCAAACTCCGCCCATATTAGCGCACGCTCCACCCAACCGTAGCAGTTAACTTCTCTTTCTTTGCTGACCTATATCCACTTTTTTCCCGTTCTCCAGGACTTCTTGGAACCAAGTTATGAATTTTCGTGTAACTCCGCCCACTTTGGTCATGCTCCGCCCACCAATGACATTTAGCTCCACTCCTCCACCCACCTCTATCCACCTTTTTCCCGGCCTCCGGGACTTCTTGGAGCCGAGTTATGAATTTTCGTCGCAAACTCCGCCCACTTTGGTCAAGCCCCGCCCACCAATGGGCTCCACTCCTCCACCCACCTCTATCCACCTTTTTCCCGGCCTCCGGGACTTCTTGGAGCCGAGTTATGAATTTTCGTCGCAAACTCCGCCCACTTTGGTCAAGCCCCGCCCACCAATGGTTAACCTCCTTTTTTCCACCCACCAAGCCCCGCCCACCGGTAACAGCTGGGCTCCAATACTCCACCCACCTCCACCTACCTTTTTTCGGGCCTCCGGACTTCTTGAAGCCGAGTTATGAATTTTCGTAGCAAACTCCGCCCACTTTGGTCCAGCCCCGCCACTAAGGCTATGTATGCTATACGAAGTTATTACGAACCATTGACAGCTGGCCTCCACTCCTCCACCCACCTCCACCTACCTTTTTTCGGGCCTCCGGGACTTCTTGGAAGCCGAGTTATGAATTTTCGTCGCAAACTCCGCCCACTTTGGTCAAGCCCCGCCCACTAATGGTATATAACCTCCACAGCATACCACAGCGAACTATGAAGCACGACAGTCTACACATTTGTCGATTAGGAACGAGCTTCAGAATGAAATGGATGTGTAAGAGCCTCAATGATGAAGCTGGGGTGAATAGTGGTTGAAAAAAACGTATAAACCCTCGATTACGCACCGAAAAGGGTCTCCTTTTCTCACCCTTATTTCACCTTGGGATAGAGAAGGGACGTTTCGTACGAGCCTCGTGGGCACTGCTGCAGTTGCTCCAGTGCCAATGACAATGAACCAACCGCTCAACTGCGCCTGCATTTTCTTCGCGGTGTCACGTGGCAGCCGACAGCGGAAGGCAGGGTTTGCGGACGGAGATGTGGTTTATGGGTCGAACGAGCTTTTGACGCCTTTGTCGGACACCTCCTATTCATATTCTCCTTCGCTGCCAACTAGTGTGCTATAGTGTCTTCGATCACCCTCATTTGCCTGACTGTTACATAAATGACCAATTTTCAGAAAAATTTCTTGAAAGATATGCATATGCAAGTCAACTCATATCCAGCATCGTTTGATGATTTCTTGGAGAATCCAAGCCTCAATCGCTTCCCGAACGTTATATGCCTTGATCGATCCAGAGTCAAAGTCAGCAAAACATACGGGATGGGAGACTACTGCCATGCCAGTTATGTGGACTCTTACGACGAAAAAAGTGCGTTTGCAACATACATTGATGAAGGAGTTGTATTCAGATAACACCAAAAAGAGAGTTGGACAAAAACTAGCTACTGAGAAATTTGGCCGTTTTCCAACGTAACTGAAGGCGCATCTCACAAAAACATGATGTGGAGTTGAGTGGCACCTATTCCTATTCTAACAGCAGTTCAAGGGAAATACTTCCCATTGGTGGACACCATTCGCCCTGTGCTTTTGATTCTTATTTTAATGGCAGAACTGGCACCATCTTTAAGGTACTAGGCCATTTCATCTTAAACATGGAGCGGATCGCTCTGCAAGCCGATCGTAGGATGGGTGTTCACTATAAGTGCCTACCACGTCTGTCCTGTATTTGAAAATTATCGCAGCGGAACTAACTACTTCAGATGGATATGTGCTTTCCCAAGCCCCCTTCTCCATCGAGACGGAGGAACTGTTCTGGCGAATGGTGATCGACTTAAATCCGAAAATCATACTCGTGCTAGGATCTTTAGCGGTGAGTATCTGAAAGTGTAAATTCGAAAAGCGAAACAAAGGCAGGGATGAAGAAGGAACCATGCGAGTCGCCCCAAAACCAGAAACGGGCCGGCTGGTTAACGCATTGCAATGGGCAATAGTATTTTTAGTATTGGTATTTATTACATGCCCGGTATGGAACATGTGAAGAAGAAACATATAAAACAAACACAAAACATGCTTGTACTTAATACACTAGTAGTGTGTATGGAACAAAACTTAAAAAGTGATAAGAAGTGTAAAAAGTGTAAAAAAAGAAACAGAAAATAGAATTAACATACCAACAAGAAAACAAGTAACAACTAGCTATGATCCTTGAGATACTGGGAAATTTCTCGTCTCATGGCGGTGAGTTTGAGTGTAGAAGAGTTATTTTTGCTAAACTTCGCGTACTCTGAGCCGGCTCTATGAGTAAAGAAATGTCTGCCAAGTGGAGTCCTGACCGGAGCGAAGCATAGTTTATTTGAACTACCTCTTGTTCTAGAAGATTTGAATGAAAATAGCTTGGAGGCATCAAATGTGATAGAACCCTGTATAATTTTATGCACAGTAATTAAATCATTCATCAATCTCCTTTTGCTAAGCGAGTCCAGATTCAACATTCTATTTCGTACAACAGCACGAGGAATGCAATTATAAGTGTACCCAAGTGCCCTTATAAAAACCTTCCGGGTGAAACTATTTTGCACCTTCTCGATGGCCTGAGAAATTTTCTTCTTGTGAGGGAAAAATATAACAGTTCCATATTCAAGGATAGGTCTAACATAAATTTTGAACGCCTTAATTGGAACGGAAGGATCCTTGTTTTTGAGTGATCTTAGCAATAGAAAAAGCCTGCTTTCGGCTTTTGAAGCAATACTAAGGCAATGAGAATCGAAACATAGCTTGCTGTTGACTAAAAAACCGAGATCTTTGACTTCAAATGCCACCTCAATAGGAGAGTTCGAAATATAATAATCATTTCGAACATTATTTTTCCCAAGGTGCAAAACTTTGGTCTTGTTAATACAGATTGGTAAACCCCAAGTCCTGGACCAATCAAGGACATTGTCAACAGCTCTCTGTATGGCAAGAGAATCACCAGGAGACCTGACTGGTTTGTAAATCTTAACATCGTCGGCAAACTAAGGTGGGAAGATCAAACGTATAAATATTGAAAAGCAAAGGGGACAACATTCCTCCTTCGGGCACTCCACTAGGGGAAAACCTTACGGAAGAGAAGGAGGTGTTAACTCTTACTTGAAATGAGCGTTCAGTAAGAAAGGCCTTGATCCAACGTACGATTGTGGGGTGTACTCCAACTTGCTCTAATTTGCTTATTAATTTGGCATGGCTCACCTTGTCAAACGCTTTTGAGAAATCAAAATAGATGACATCAACACATGACTTTTCATCCAGCGCGGTTACCCAGTCATTGAGGCTTAGGAGCATTTGGGAAACTGTTGATCGACCCTTTCTAAAACCGTGCTGACAATCGGGCAAAACTTGATTCCTATCGAGATGATCCACAATAGCATCTTTAATCGTTTTTTCAAATAGCCACAAAGGACAGATGTTGTACTTATGGGTCATAATTCCCAGGATCATTGAAAGGCGCCTTTTTAGGGAGAGGCGACACGAATGCGTGCTTCCATCTGAGAGGAACTTCAGCATAATGTAAACTTCTGTTGAATATGCATTCCAAAGGAAAAGCGAGATAAGGCGCAACTTTCTTCATGAACGAGAGAGGAATGCCGTCCGGTGTATAGGAAACGCTTGACGGCCACTTAAAGCCACGAGTCAGGATTAGGTGACCATAGAAGGCCTTTCCATCACTAATATTTCCAGGAATGCGCTCAGAGGGGTGATGCCACACTCCTGACTCGAGATTGCGCGCCGTCAAGGCCTCTGGCCTACTACTTACAGCGATGGGTTCGTTCATCAGCTGGTCCCGCCCACCGCGGGATGTGGTGCGTGGCTGGCCTAACGTGTGAGATCAGCTAGGTTGATTGCCGTATCAACCGCTGGCATATCCGGAAAACTCGTTTGGACGTGGCTCTCCCCCGAGCAAGCCTCCTTCACTGCTAGAAGGGAAGGGGTTTCGATTCTTTGCGTTTTTTCTTCACTGTCGTTCCACCTCCCATCTCTACACTCAATTTCAGGCGCCATAATGCCCAAACACGAGCCTGACTTTTGCCTTTAAGAAAGTGATTGGGAATGGCGTCTCTTGAGAAAAAAACTGAGTCCTTCATGGTATCAAATGATCAGGAAAGGGGTGTTTTAAAAGGTGTGACATTGTTTCTGACGTAAACTTTTTGGAATTGATCAGCCAAAGTTTCGGCTTTGTCAAAATCCGTGATTGCTAGTGAACGATCAACTTTCTCAAGAGTACAAATTCTTTTTGTAGGTTGGATCCTAGCTCTAATGTAATTGAAGAGATATGATTTGTTAGAGGAATCTACGATTTTCCTTTCCACGGCACAATTATACTTAAAAAGTCTTTTTTTCAAATTTAGCGGAGAATTCTTGATATAATTCCCAAGTCCCATTGATCATTATTCAAAATGGCTCTTTTGTACGCATTTCTTTTTTGAACGAAAAGAGTATAAAGATGGGAAGGCAACTGTTCTGCAGTAGCGGAGACTTTTCTAAGAGGCACGAAAAGTTCAATACAACGGCTCAATACGAAGATGAACAGCTCATACATTCCATTTGAATCTCTACAACATCTGAACGATCCTAACCAATCAATGTCTCGGAGATAGGAGCACACTTCGCCATAATTGGTGTTTTTAAAATCTCTTTCTCGGACAAGAGTGGACTCCTTCAGTGCCACTTTGAAACAAAACATAACTGTAGCATGATCGCTACTTCCTAGCGGAGCGCCTATGGTAAGCCCTTCTATGACGTCTTTGTTGTTACAAAGCACCAAGTCTAGCAGACTGCGTTTTCTAGGACAAAAATCCACAAACTGTGTGTATTTGTGTGAACGAAACATATCGAGAAAGTGGCGGGATAAAACGGAACTAGCTGTAGGAATGCGGGACCAAATAATATCGGAAAAATTAAAATCACCCACTAGAAGGCACGTAGAATGGCATATAGTGAGGTCACTTAAACACTTGATCATTTGCTCGGTCTTGACCGAGCTACACTTGGGGGCTCTATAGACCAAAATCAAGCGATAGGATAAATTCAAAGCATCGATATCAACAGCTACAATCTCATATTCGTCGGCCACACTTCCAGAGAAAACCGCTGTAGGAAATAGAGATTGTTTTACGAGTAGTAGAACTCCCCCACCTTTTTTCCTCTTTCTATCGCATCGAATTATAGTGTAATTGAAACACAGTTCTCCCAAAGGGATTCCACTGTGATTGTGGACTTCAGCCAGGTCTCCGAGATAGCAACAATTCCAAACTCAAATTTCGACAAGAGTATGCTAACGAATGAGAGTTCTTTTGAAGAGAACGTATATTTGTTACGAGACAAGAAATCCCCTTCCGAGGAGAAGCTAATTGTTTTCCAAAACCTGTTGAGGAGCCTGAGAAGAGTCAGAGAGATTACATAGGAGTAGCAAGGGAACTGGCATTAACATCAACATCTTTGTGAATCACATCAACAGAAAACCTTTCCTTCTCCATTCGAAGGGCTCTGAGGCGGTCCCTCTCAGCCTTCGGGAGTGAAGGGCGGATATAGACTCTCGGAACCTGGAAGGTTTTCAGCCTCGGGGCTCTGGCGAGAAGTTGGCGTTTAAAAACGTATTAGGAAGAACAATTTCGATCAAACGTGTTGGGTTTTCCCATTCTATAAAAAGTGATCGGAGAGCAATCAATAGACAAGAAATTAAACAATTTTCTTAAGCATTCAAAGTTATGAGAAGTGCGGTTAAGCGATGAAGGATCCTTGCATTCATCAATGCCGGAAACTACAACAGATCTTAACCTTTCCCTTTCTTCACAACAATGAAACGATGAGGCATTAGAATCGATAGAAGGCCTAGTACCAGGAGAGCTCAGTCTACTCAAAGCAAGGAGAATTCTTCAGAGAATCGACTTCCTTTAAAAGACGATTTTTTCAGCTATTTCCGAGCTCATGCGCTGCTCCAGCTCCTTATTCCGCTCTAACAAGTGATCAACAAACGATATTTTTCCAAAAGATGTCCGAGGATAGTTTTTAAATGAGGAGGAAGCTTGTCATCAGTCACGAGTAGATTTACCGCATCATGAAGAGCACCCCCATCGGTTCCAGGAGATTCAGTGCGGCTTCCTTTTTACACCCTGAATCATAAGTGAAGACGGCGGAGTGTCCATATGAAACACAACAGCAAAGAAATTGATCCAATGCACCGTCGCAGGTGGCAAATTGAACGGTATCGATAGATCTTTGCCACAAAGATCAAAACTTGGTCGAAGAACCGCAAGGCACAATCGATCGAAACAGCGGTGCACGGGACTAACGGCGAAAAAGGTAAAGACAACCTGTACGGGTGGCTTGGATTCAAGTCAGCAGAAATACGACCCCGCCACAAGGGTTCCAGCATTTGACACGAATGATGTCAACATAGGCTTCGGTGAAACTGAGTATAGAAGGGCCATTGTACTGAGAATATACTGGACAACATACTATCATTGGATTTGGCTGATGGTATTGAGGAAATCCGATGATAAAGCAGTAATTTCTCATAGTTCGTCAATACCAATGACATCCACATTTTTTTTCTGGAACTAACAAAGCAGCTGAATGAGCGTTAGAATAAGTAACACAATTACTGAGGCTGCCTAGCATCAACTTTCATCGTGAACATGTGCCATGATTAGGATGATGGAATGGTTTAGCGGTCGAATGACTTCTTATGCCGGTGATGAGACAGGAATACTAATACTTATCGTAGTTGCACAAACACCGACCATTTGAGAAGCTCGGGCAGATTAGCGGTCGATTGGATGACGATATCGCGAAGAAATGAGATTTTTCTTATCACGCATCTGGTAGGAACATCAGGACGTTCGCCTTCCAACACTTCTTATCAGTTCTTATCATCTTCTGGTCCCCACCAAATATGTTCCCGTCCCACCCCCTATATCATATCCAAAATCAGCTCCTGACGACTGCTGCGACGCGTGCTATGAATTTCGTGACACACACACACACACACACAGACAGACATAGCGCTTTATATATAGGGGGATTTTGTATTTCTTGTCCTTAAAGCTAGCGGTACACTGAGCGCTGCAGAGTCGGAAGAAAAACAAATAAAGCATTAAAGGCAGCGGTTACGCTAGGTTTAAATGTGGTTTGGAGGGGACGAGGGGGTCCTCAATAGTACATCAGTGGCGAAAAAAGCAAAGAAATCCGTCAAAAATAAGCAAAATAGTACCCCTTTGATTGCCCTTTCATTTTCGACCATGGATGAGCGACGGTAAAGAACGACGTTGTTCGGACGTGTTAACCCCGATAGCCGCCATCATGCCAACAAGCATAGTGTTTGATTGATAAGGCATACGTGGGCAAGTTGGAAGATACAGCCGCTAGAAGGGAAATGATCATCCAAAATGAAAAGCCAACAGCAAACAGTCCATCCAGATCATCAACAAAACTAGTGGGCGTCACGTCGCATGGGGCGGAAGGTCGCAATGGTCCTGCTCAGCAACCACAGCACCTTTCGCCAGTGGAGCGCCACACATCGCTTCCTTGGCGGCCTGCTAATTGCTCTGTGGGGAGCAGGTTCTCCGCAGATGTGAAAATTCCTTTCCGTACCTACTTCCTTTAATGACACGCTTTTCAATATCAAACATTAAGAACGCTAATGGACCAGTGATGCGGAGGTTTTGGCCTGAAGCAAACGAAAAATCGTACTCGAATAAAGTCAAAATAGTTCTCGTGAACGCGGTAAAGGTTAGTCCGTCAATCTCATTTCTAGAAAAATATAGGGTCTGGATATTCACATGAGGTTCGGAGACCCGGAAGTGTTGTTGAATTCACCCTCATGCAGAAGTGAAGTTGCTCAAAGAAATACAAGCACTTTCACCGAAACAATCTTAACTCAAAATCAGCAAATCATTTAATTTTGAAAGAATTCCGAATAGGACGCACAACGATTGTAGGTTGGATATCGCCTTTATATCCTGCCTTGCGAATGTTCCGCCGGTGTAAGCCATGAAGGGAAATTTTACGATGAAAAGGTAGCTCATTGGAAATAAGGGTAGAGGTGGCTAGTGAAGCTTTTAGATTGTTTTCTTGAGTTGTAAGCTTTCTACAGTAATGTGAAGCTTAGTATTTGATTATACTCGGGAATTTCTGATGAAATGGTTTTTTCAGTCTTGACTCTTCCCAATCGACAATAATGCGCTAGTTCAGTGAAGAAGGCCTGCCTTCGGAAAATGTTAAAAAGAAACTGATTTCATTTAGTTTTAAAAACTTACAGCCGAAAAAGTATACCACCGAAGGCTTTCTAGCGCTACTGTATGTAGCTCGGAGCTCTCAGCAATGGCGCAATCCTAACATTTTTTGATGCTCTGCTTTGTTAGTAGCGGAAAACCACTATCACCAGAGAAATTTTCCGCTACCGGAAAACAGAGAAAGTCCGGCACATGCGGTACAGTTGCGTACGTCGTACACATAGTGGCTCGATTTGGGAGCACCAGTCAGCGTATCCGTAGGAACGGGTCAGTTCCCTAAAGTTCACGCCACAGCTTCCTGTGCTGCAAAATTGCCAGGTCATACTTCCTTCATCCACTACATACAGAAATGAGCGCAAACATGCATTTAGTGCATTGCAGATTGGTAATCTGGAAGTTCTGCAAGTGATGATTTCCATCGATACTAAAGAACTGATGCGTGTACCACTTGTGAATTATAAAGCGTGGCAATCGGACATACCAGTTCCAGATCTCGGAGAATTCAGGCAGAATGTAATTCATTGGCTTACAGGGTGGCGGAGAATTACGTGCTTCTGAGCATTACATGAAGAATTTTGTGTGCTCTTTCCTCTCGAATTGTTTGTCTATTGCTAATGCTAATTACTAGTTTGCAGAAAAAAAAACATTTCTTCTTTCATTTCATTTTTTCCAAGTTTTGCTAAAGACCTGCTCAAGTTAGAACGCGATTGCGCGCTGGACTTAGAGCTCAGCAATTCTTTCGAGGTTCTCAGTTTCTCCACGAGCCATCATGGAACATGTAAAACATTGGAAGATGCTTCGGGCAAGCCTTCGCAGGTTTTCATAGATGACGACGTGGATTTCGCTGAGAAGGTCTATCAAGAATAGATCCTCAAAAAAGCTACGGTCCTCAAAAGCAGATTCATAGCAGTGCTAAATTTCTACAGGAACGTATTCGAGACCATAGACTAGAACAACGATCCACTTCTTGGAGGCCAGTATGTTGTTATTTGGCGATAGATTCGCGGTCTGAATACAGTCCGAATTCGGATCCATTAGACTTCTCTGTTTGAGGTTTCATTGAAGAGCTGTTAAGCAATCGAAATGCAAATTTTGGTGAGAAAAGGATTATTCAATCTGGGATGAATTACACGTTGAGCACCTCCGCTGCACCGTCGACTTTCTGAAGAAACAATTTGACGTCTGCATCAAGACTGATGGCAGCTTCTTCGAATTTTTTGCAATTATAAAATGTCATGGTTTTATGTTTTATGAATTAATTAATTTTAAATTATTGTGGACAAGAAGTAAAGTTTGGATGTGCTTCAAAGCGCACGTAATTTTTCGCCACCATGTATTTTGCAAAGAGCATGACTACTAAATGTTTTCAAGGTGAAAGAAATCGAAGCTAAAGTGGGAAGAGCTGGAACCACAGTGTTAGTTTGTCCCAGTGGAGCCACAAGATGTGGTACTTATGCAGCTGTTGACATTATTCTCAGCCGGATATCGAAGGAGAAGAGGGTAAGGAAGACTTCTATGACATCAACATTCATCGAAGTTCATCGCTTTGCATTTGCTCTTGATGAATCTAATCAAAAAATCTCATCATTGCTAATTTTCAACATGGCCTTAGAAGCTCAATCCCGCCAGAAGTTGGGTGCACGATTTCCTTCAATCTCTAAGGTACAATCTTGAAGAACAATCACAGATTTGGCACTTACTCCCTTAGTGGAAGTGGTCCTACAGGGTCACTAAGGATTGCGTACGCAGCAGGTTGTTCTTTGGCGGCTCTCTCATCTGCTGTGCTCTCTTTTCTCATGCTCTGCTTTACGCGATCAGTCTCTCATTGCCTTAGCACAACCGCCCTACGGAACTGATCAGGCCCTAAACCTAGGCACTTTCGAGATATTTTTTTCTTTTTGTTTCCTTCACTGCCGGCCCATCTGCACCATTACTTCCATAGTGCGAACGTGAGAGTCAAAGAAAGTTGCTGCGAATGTCTTGAAGCCATTGGCTCACTTCACATCAACGATTTCTTGAAATACTGCCTGCTGACCACGGCAAGGCACACAAATGTTATAGGTCTCCCGCATATTGCAATTGTTCCATTAGTGGGCATCCAAAGCTTCCTTGTGGTCGGAGCCATTCATCCAAGGCTAAACGCATTCGAGTGTGTTCATAAATATTGCACCGTGTTTTGCAAGTCATTCCATCAGGCCTCTTACTGGCTCTACCCCTGGCTCTTTCTGATATTTGACGTTCCATTTCATATTTAACTTTTCGGGCCATGTGCTCGGCAGCGACCCCTCCTGCCTCTCCTCTACAATGAGCGCTTTTTAAATATGAACAGGCAGTTGGATTACCATTACCAAATACACATTTTTCACAATTCGTCGTGGAACAAGCCAATGTCCGTTGGGAACGCACTTGAAAAGAATTGCAAGCCGCACTTTGTAGAAGTGCTGCTCCCCTGCCTACAGGCTGCGCCCACCGGCTGCTTCTCCTCTAACGAATTTTCGCTGGTTTTCATGCTCGAAAGCTGCGTCATCATAGGAGTCGTCTACTACTACTTCCACACCACTCGAAATGTCAGAGCCCCGGAGGTCAGAATCTTAAGCGTTGCGCCGTCCTCTGACTGGCTTTCTGCCGATAAACCCCCATCTGTCATCGTTCGTTTGCTTACGTTGCACCTGATGCAAAAAATAAGGGAGACAATAGAATCGTTAACAGAATTATCAAGAGTGCGAGACTTAAAATCACTTTTTGGAGCCTGCGCACTGCGTCCATGGCCGGCTTCACGACTTACTTCTTGACTTGCCCAAGGTAGCTCGCTCAGACTTGTGACGATTTGTTGTCAGAGTAAGAATTTTAAAGTTTCTATTTGTGCACAATTCCGCCATCAAGCGGCCCTCCGATCTCAATAAGTGCCAAAACTGTGGTAGTGTCTTTGACTACGGAAGTGGTACACATGTGTACCACCAGTAGTCAAAGAGTTGACTTTTAAGCCACGTTGCAACACGTGTAGAACACCCTGTACAAAGGCGTCACAAATCGCAAAAATCCATGTAGCCACCTCAAACTGTTCTTTTGCTCAGACCACTCGCACCCCTGATGCCCAACTCAACTGGCAAAGAGTGACTTCAGCTCTTTATTCGTGGCAGGGTCAACCCTATGTTGCTACAAGTAGTCGTATTTTGATGAGTTTGTAGAGGGGGGTCGTACTTGCTTCGGTTGTAAGAAGTTGCATGTGATGAGTGGGGAGCGGCGCGGGAGAAAATTTGCCGTTTCAGCGCGCGTATATACCCCCTCCCGCTCGACGGTAATTTTTTGGGGTAAAAATTGTTTTGAAGGAGGGGGTCGTATGAAACATTTCATGAGGGAGGGGGGTCGTAAAAACTTTTTGAAAAGTAGCAACGATAGGACCGACCCGGATTGACCATCGGACTGACCGAGACGAGAAGGCACCGCCCGCTACACGCCGTTTTCGATACTGGAGAAGAACTGTTCCTTGGAACATGCGACAGCAGAGGCGTTGGCGGTGTGGGTGTCCTCGTCAACACGCACTTGGCCATAAACATCGATTCGTACGAAAGCCTTACGACCCGAATCGGACGTTTGAGATTGAGAAGATGTGGTTCAACTCCTGCTTTGACAATCTTCGTCGCCTACGCACCAACATCCAGCTACGACGAGGAGGAACACGAAGCATTTATATGGAATTGGAGAAGTTCTACAGGGAAGATCATACCTTCTTCAAGGTCATCGTCGGCGACTTCAACGCTAAGATTGGCCCAAGAAGAACGGCTGAAGAACTTCACATCGGTACTCACGGAATGGAATGGAATGAGCAGGGTGAGAGACTGTCGGAGTTTATCATGTCGACCAACACCATCCATGGTAACTCACAGTTCCAAAAGCCCCCTCACCTTCGTTGGACTTGGGAGTCACCTGATGGACAGTTCCATAACGAGATAGACCACATCATCTTCAATCGAAGGTTTTGCCTGACCGACGTCGCTGTTGTTCCAAAGTTCTACACGGGATCGGACCATCGTCTCCTCCGCGCAAGATTCCACTTCTCGATGCGTGTTGAGAGAGCAGCAAAGTTCAGGAAGCGAAGCCCCAGGACAGTCATCAACTGGGACCACTTCGCTTCCCTCGTCAGCTTATGGGAGGATTCCGTCATCGAAAACATCGACGAGGAGTACTATCGGCTCGTTGAACATCTTCACGATTGTGGCAGGAAGGCAGAGAGTTTGAAAGTCACCAAGGGACGTCTGTCTCCGGAAACTCTCGAACTGATACGCCAGCGTGGAGCCGCACGAGCTGCAGGCAATCACCGACTCACGTCCGAGCTTGCGAAGCTATGCAGAGAGGCGATAAAGGAAGATCTCAAGGAGCGAAGAGCAGCAGTATTAGCTGAAGCAGCAGAGGCTGGGAGGAGCATCCGCAATGCCCGCCGAAGCTTTGCCAGCTAAAATGACCTCCGACGTCCGGATGGAACAGTTACTGCATCCCGAAGGGCAATGGAGAAAGTCATCCACGACTTCTACTCGGATCTCTTCGATAGCCATGTCCATCTGCCTACTTATCAACTGCAAGAGGATGGATACGTCGTCCCCTCAGTTCTCTCTTCCGAAGTCCGACACGCCATCAAGTCGGTGAAGAATCGTACAGCACCCGGTCTCGACAGGGTTAAACCGGAACATCTGAAGAATGCACCGCCAGTTATCATCAAAACTCTGGCTCGACTCTTCACGCGCTACCTGTCGGAATGCAAGGTACCCACTCCGTGGAAAACCAGCAGGACCGTGTTGCTGTACAAGAAGGGAGACTTGGACGACATTGGCAACTATCGCCCAATCTGCCTGCTGTCTGTAATCTACAAGCTATTCACTCGAGTCATCCTTAACAGGATCGGCAGAATACTAGATGAAGGACAGCCATGCGAGCAAGCAGGGTTCCGAAGAGGGTTCAGCACGATCGACCATGAAGTTTCACGAGAGTACAAGATGCCGCTTTGTCTCACGTTCATCGACTTGAAGAAGGCCTTCGACTCTGTGGAGACAGAAGCGGTCATCGAAGCCTTGGGCAACCAGGGCGTCCCTACTCAGTACATCAAGATTCTTCGTGAGCTCTACAGCAACTTTACGACCAGAATCTCACCATTCTACAAGGAGGGGTTCGACAGGGCGACACCATCTCGCCCAAACTCTTCAGCGCCGCTCTCGAGAACGTCATGCGTCAACTGGAATGGGAAGACATGGGAGTGAAGGTCGACGGCCGGCAACTACACCACCTTCGTTTTGCTGACGACATCGTTCTTATAACGCCGAACATCGAGCAAGCGGAGCGAATGCTGGCTGATTTCGACTGCGCCTGTGGTAAGGTTGGTCTACAGCTGAACCTAACGAAGACGATGTTTATGAGAAACGGATTGGTTCCCCCCATTCACGCTCAACGGGCCGATTTCGACTGCGCCTTGTGGTAAGGTTGGTCTGCAGCTGAACCTAACGAAGACGATGTTTATGAGAAACGGATTGGTTCCTGATGCCCCATTCACGCTCAACGGAACGAACATCACCGAATGCTCCAGCTACGTGTACCTAGGTCGGGAAATCAATATGATGAACGACCTAGCTCCAGAGCTGAGCAGGAGGAAACGAGCGGCATGGGGAGCGTTCAAGAACATCGAGGGAGTAGTGAAGAAGACGAAGAACATCCGGCTCCGTGCCCACCTCTTCGATTCCGCTGTCCTTCCTGCCCTAACCTACGCCTCAGAGACTTGGACTCTGCGCAGGCAGGACGAGCATGCGGTCAGCGTTATCCAACGCGCTGTCGAGAGGACGATGCTAGGAGTAACCCTATACACGCAAGTGCAGAGGGGAATCCGGAGTTCCGAACTACGCCAACGATCGAAGATCAGGGACGCTGCCGCCAAGGAATCGAAGATAAGGTGGGCCGGACACGTCATGCGATTTTGCGATGACCGTTGGACCAGAGCGGCGACTGGATACCTAGAGACGTCAAACGAACACCTGAACGAC